CGGCCGACCGGTTGGCCAACTGGTCATTGGCTTCGGAGCGCATAAAAATGTAAAAAACTTGCATTTCTTACCATTACTTTAAATCGAAAAACTTTTTTTTCGGCGATATAATGCCCGCCCATAAGTTAAACCACTAAATTATGGACTTATACATGATTTTAAATTAAAAATGTTTACCAAAATGTTTGGCAACTGATCCACGGGTAGTGACGGCCCGATCTCGTGATCCACTCAATGTTAAAACATAGGAGCGGCCGAAAAGTGGTTCAAAAGTGGACAATACTATAAGTGATGATTAAAAATGTTTTTGATTTGAAAACATATTGGCCTTAATGTCCGATTAAACACCAATGTGTCCACTGATAGCGGTTACGAGTCTTGTGGTAAAGTTTTCAAAAACTAAAGCGACAAATGGTGTGAACCACTATGAAGTCCATATAGACATTGAATGGGAATTTAAAATTTTGGGTCATTTTTTGTTTTACGCCTCCTAGGAGGCTATAAATTTGATACATGGTGTGCATCACCAATATAAAACAGCCCACCAACATACAGCCCGCCACAATACACCTAACCCCCTTTTTAAAGGGGGTTTGTATTATTTTGAACAAACGGCTAAAACGCTTAAATATAGAGATTGGGAGGGGTTAGGCGACCCAAAAGTTGATGATTTAATTGTATTTGGTAACTAAACAAATCATCAACTTTTGGCCCCCACCCGCCTCCTGTGAGGCTCTAAACAAGGAAAAATTCATATTTTTAACATTAAGTCTATGGGTGGGCGGGAAAATTTTCGAGTGGCTCCTGTGTCCAAACGGGTGGCCATAATTGAGTGAAATTTTATACACAATCATTGGTCATGGCAAGTGTCCAAATGCCATGACCAGAGTGAACACCAAAGTGTCCACTGATATCGTTTACGGGTCTTGTGGTAAAGTTTTACACTATATTGTGTGTACACTATTCAGTACACAAATCAAACCATTAACTCATTCATATATTTCACTCAAAACTCTCTTTCCCTCTCTCTCTCTCTCCCTCTCTCTCTCCCCATTCATAAGCGGTAATCGTTTGAAATGTTTAATTAAAAAATTGATTGAACTCTGAAAAGGCATGAATTGTCGCCAAAGCCTTTCACTGTCTATCTCTCATCCGTTTGTATTTCAATGCAATTATTATAAAGCATTCAATGAGTGATTAATACAAACTTTTTAATGTCAATCAATGCTTGCAATCATTTTCAACACATTATTATAACACGTCTTATGTTTTATCAACTCTTTTAAAAATTACTTTTAATGCAATGAAAGTTATATTTGAATGCATTTCTTATACATAGCAATTACAAAGATTGTCAACTATTATAAGTTATTGTTAAAAATTAAGTGAATAATACAATCTTAACCATGCTCAAACAATTACTTAATTATTTACGTCATAATGAAATGTTATACATTTTTGTTAAAAATAAATATTTATAAAACGTGACAAAAATTAACTGTAATTAAAACAATTAAGATAAATCATGTTGAAATCACACCGACCTTGGTAAGCATCATCGTCATATTAATAATTATTTATTAAATAATATAAATTATTTAAAACACAACTTATTTAAACGTCAAAACCATTTTCATTACACAAATCAGACCAACACATGAAAAATGTATCAAAAATGTCACAAAATAAGCATTTCTGTGACATTTTGCCAGTAATTCATTACATAATAATAAACATTAAAACAAATCTTTAATAAAACTTTTAAATTATAACAAAACTAAAGTCAAGAGAAGAAACATAATTGAAATCAAAATAGTTTTTCTCAAACAATTGCAATGAAATCAAAACTTAAGTCCTATTGAATGAAATGATAGGAAAGTGAATGAGTTTTTTGGTGAGCAATGGCTAACAAATTGGTAGCAATTGATTAATAAATCACTTTTCGTGTGTAAACTATATTATACTCTATTTATTTGGTATTAATTCACAATTAATTCATGTGTTATTAGTTATGGGATTGAAAATGAAATGTGGAAATCGAGGGCAAGGACTCAAAACACTGACTTTTATACTATTTATTACCAATAATACCATTACTTACTGTATATTCATATTTATAATTAATTTATAACTATTTTTTGATAAATTTCTAATAATAAGTCTATTCTATTATCTGTAATATGTAAAATATAAACTTGATGATTTACTAAACTTTTTTAATTTAATACTTTTACAAAGTAATATTTTATTTTTATTATTTTCTACAGTATTCTCTCTCTCTCTCTCTCTCTCTCTCTCTCTCTCTCTCTCTCTCTCTCTCTTCCCCTCCCTCT